AGACCATGTGGTCACGGTTCGAGATGCAGAGCCCCAGGACCACCTTGCTCGCCCTTACCACAAACTCCCTTTCTCTCTCTTTTTTTTTCTGGTGTTTCAACTTTCTTTCTTTCTTTTTAATTTTTATTAGTGAAACACCATGAGGTACAGTTGTAGATTTACAAATTTTTGTGCTTGGGTTTCTATTATACAATGATCAAGTACCCATCCCTCCACCAGTGCCCATTTTCCACCACCATGGATCCCAGTATCCCTCCCACACCCATTCCCCCACCCCACCCTGCCTCTGTGGCAGGGCATTCCCTTTTGGTCTCTCTCTCCTTTTGGGTGTTGTGGTCTGCAAAAGAGGTATTGAGTGGCAATCATGTTCAGTCCATAGTCTACCTTCAACTTGTATTTCCCCTCCTGGGAAGATCCTCTAAACACCCTTTATTTGGTGCTGCTCCCTTCTCTATCTGAGCTGCCCTTTCCCCTAGAGTGCCCGGCTGGCCTCTAAGCCATGGAGTAATCCTCCTGGTACTGATCTCGGCTATTCTTGGGTATTAATTAATATTTTGTTACTTTATGTCCCCCAGATGAATGCAATCTTTTTATGTCTATCCCTCTCTTTCTGACTCATTTCGCTTAGCATGATACTTTCCATGTGGTACCACTTGTATGTAAAATTCATGACTTCATCTTTTCTAACAGCTACATAGTACTCCACTGTGTAGATGAACCAAAGTTTCTTTAACCAGTCATCTGTTCTTGGGCACTCCGGTTTTTTCCAGATTCTGGCTATTGTAAAGAGTGCTGCAATGAACAAACAAGTGCAGATGTCACTTCGACTATACATTTTTGCCTCTCTGGGATATATTCCCAGGGGTGGTATTGCTGGGTCAAATGAACTCCCTTTCTCTTGGGGTGACTGAATAATCCCTCGCCTCCCCACCAGAGCCTAAAATCCACAACCATATAACCTGACAAGAGACCTAGGTGGGGGCCTGGGGCCAGTCTCTGGTGATCTCCACAGACCTGCCAAGACTCTGTGAAATTCCCACTCCCAGGCTCCAGGCCCAGGAAATCTGAAGGCCCAAGGCTGGGTCTCTGGACTTTGGGGTGAGAAGAAAACACACATCATAGCTTCACAATCCCCAAGTTACGATGCAGGTTAGGAATGTCTCCTCATGGATAGAGAACACACATATCTAGTCAGCAAAAAAGGATTATCAAGCCCTAGATTCCCCAAATCCTGAAACCTGCCTGCAAATTTTGGAATACTGTAAACAGAGAGGATGCGTGTTCAAGGGAGAACACGGGCTTGAAGAGTGAGCCAGGGTTTCTATTTCTAAAGGAATCTACAACCAATGTGGGAAAAGTACTAGCTATAACGATAATACAGCACTCTATGTTGTATACTCTCTGAAAGCAAAAATGGGGAGGGGGAGTTGGGACTTCCTTCATCCTTCCTGTTTCCCCACAGGCAATCAGAGGAGAAAGGAAAATGAGAAGCCTCAGCCTCAGCCTCTGGACCTCACTCAAGACCGGAACATGACGACGTACACCAGCCACATCATGTCCGGGCTGTGCAGTGAAATTTGGAGTCAAATCACAGCTTCCCAGCACTGACCCAGTGATGCAGAATAAGATACGGGGTGACCTCAGTTCCACCTCTACAGAGATTATAGATGACACAGGACTGCACTCAAGAGTCACTGAGATGAGTAAGACATGATACTTATCCAATACAAATGCAACATCTCAGTCTGCAAACGCTGAGGTTGCTCACTAGAAACCAACCAGACCACACACTGCAGCACTAACTCATCACTCTCTCCATGTGCTCAGACCACCCCCGACTCCGATCCTTCGCCTCCTTTTTTGCCCTGATGTGTGTGTACCATACATGGGGTGGACAGCTGTCAAACTGCATGTCCCCGGACCTCACTTGTCCCTCTTCTGACTTGGTTTGGCCAGTGGAAGGCACCAGTTCAGACAGTACTCTCTCCACACACACACCCCTACGCTGCAGGGCCTTTTCTGACAAGGGCCTCCATCTACCCAAGAACGCAGCTTCTGCGGGGCTACTCTTCTTCCATACTGCTCTAATTCTGTGGCCCCACTTGGCCCATGAGCAGTAGCTACTCACTATGGTTGCTGATTTTTTAGCCCCTCAACATCTTTGTTGGTTCCCCAACAAGCCCTCACTCCACTGCTCAAGACATTGTAAAAGCCTCTGAGGGCTTTTAAATCAGAAGCCTCTGATTTACCACTTTCCACCCACAACAATCCGTTCTGCTTTCTCACCAGCTGCCTTCTCTCATGTGGGCCTCACCTCACAGTGGCCATGTTGGAACCTAATGATTCTGCCCCTTCTTTTCTCTAAATCTAGACCAGGGTTTTGCCCCTTGGAACACGAATCTGGAACTGAACTAGAAGGCAAACACAGAAAGTCATTAAGAAGACACAACAAAGGCATAGAGAGGCAGCGGAAACCAAGCAAGGGAGAGTCTGGAGATTCTTGTGTCTTTGTTTTCCTGGAGAAACACGTGGAATTTTCTAACACGTACTTTCTCCTTGAGTCAGTCTGTGTGGTTGTCAATTATTGGTTGGTTGAAGTGAATCCTCAACATACATGACATGGGCAAATTTAAATGCTTTACCACTGGGGAAAAAAAAAAGGACGAAATATCCTGAAACAGAAAAGAAATCCACAGCTGAAAAGGGATGCCAGAAACTGAAATTGACCATACTGGAAGCTGAAATTGACCATAATGGGACAGAGGTGAGAAATAAGTAGAGGATTTATCACAGTATTGCTTAAAAGATGCGATGCCGGTACATGAGTTCCTAGAGATCCCATGGTGGGTTCATTTACCTGCATTCTAAGCTTTACTCGGATGGTATCAATTCTATTGGGGATGGAAGTCCCTACTTGGCAGTGCTGGAGATCACTCCCAAAGGACCATGTAGTGCCAGGAGTTAAACTGTTCGCTCCAGCATGCAAAGCACTCTAGCCTTTTGAGACATCACTGTGACTCCTGTTCCACTTTTTAAATATAGTATATATGTAGCCAATCGATGAAAGTCCTATGAAGAGATTTACTTAAAGCCAGTAACTCTGTATGACTCTATGATACACAAAACTTACAACTGTGTCCATAATATATCCATAGTAGTAATGAGGAGGTTAAATTTAAAAATAAAAACCCAGGGGCTGGATAGTACAGGGGTTAAGGCACTTGCCTTTACACGCAGCCACCCCAGTTCAATCCCTGCATAAGTGCCCCCCCAATCTCCCCCAGTACTGCCAGCAATGATCCCTGAGCAATGTCAGACTGCCTTGACCCCTGACCCCCAGGTATAGCCCAAATATACCCTCCCCAGAAAGATCCACAGGGGCTAAGGGCTAAATGCAGATACTGGAGCTGCCCCTGCGACCTTAGTTCTCCAGGGCTAGAGTGATAGCACAGCAGGTAGGGCGTTTGCCTTGCATGTGGCCAACACGGATTTGATTCCTCTGTCCTCTCGGAGAGCCTGGCAAGGTATCAAGAGTATCTTGCCTGCACAGCAGAGCCTGGCAAGCTCCCTGTGGCATATTTGATATGCCAAAAACAGTAACAAGTTTCACAATGGAGATGTTACTGGTGCCTGCTAGAGCAAATCGATGAACAATGGAAGGGCAGTGTTACAGTGTTAAGATCCCTAGAACCAAGTTTCTGGTCACCAAGGCAGTCTGACATTGCACCCCTGTGGCTGGCTCTGTATTTCCACTCCATGAGGGTTTGAGAACTTCCCAGCCCTTTTTACTTATTGGAAAAGTTTAAACCTACTTAACTCCTGGTCATGCTGTGAAGTCAATTTCAATACCATTTCCTTTGGGAAGCTTCCCTGCTCTCCCCGGTCTAACTAGATAAGCTCTCTGTTCTTCTGTCACAGCTTTCAATTCCATTTTATTTATAAACACAGGAACAGTGCTGTAATTTCTGCCTCTTCCTTGAAGCACAGGAGCTGTATAAGGAGAGGTTCCTCCCCAGTCCTTGCTTCTAGCTCAGACCTAGGTTGAACTAATGAACATTATGTCCTGGTGACTTTCAAAATTGGCACCAAGGGAGCAATACAGGGAAGTGTTCTGAGTTCCTTAGATCTCTACAAACTATTCCATTCCCTTGCTATCTGCTATTCCTTCATTTCATTCATCTTTAAAACTATGCGGCATGGAAAGGAGAGGGGCGCCAGAAACTGAACCAGACTAGACCAGAGATAGAAAGTAAAAAATGCATATGTTATTAACTAGCCTTGCAAGGGCAAAAACAGGGTTCTCGAGCAGGCTTTGCAGATACAGACGTTTGGGTCAGGCCTCACCCTGGGGAAGCTTACGAGACAAGGAGGCCCCACTGGCTTTCCCTGGGAGCTCGTTACCAAAAACCAACGTTCTTCCACTCCGGGACGCGGCCCAAACCCCAGAGACTGCAAGCTCCGCGCAGGTGCAAAAGGTGACACTCAGGCACGGGAGCTGCCCCCTTAGGACCTTAGTTCTGCAGGGGCAACAGGGGACGACAGCAGGGACCCCCTTCCGGCGGCAGGGCTGCTCTGAAAACACCGTTCCCCTTTGCGCGAGTCCTTATTCCCAAAGCACCTTTCCCTTTGGGTGTCTCCCCGACCGCGAGGTCCACGCGGAGACCCCCCACCCCGGGGCCTGCCCACCCCCCACTCTCCCCGGGCTCGCAGGCCCCAGAGACGGCAAGTGCCAAGAGGGTCCGCCACGGATGTCAGCCGCGCGGTTCTCCAAACGCCCGCGCGTCGTCGGCCGGCTCCGGGCTCCCAGAGCGGCTCCAGGCCGGCGTCCAGCCAGGCCCGCCGACCTCACCGCCCGAGCCAGCTACCTGGACGCCGTGCACGATGTACACCTTCTCCGCCTCGCTCAGCGCCACCGACGCCATGCTGCCCGCCGGCCCCGTGCGCGCGCCACGTCATCCGCGCGCGCCGGCCCCGCGCGCGCGCGCGCGTCATCGGGCCGCGCCGCTGCCGCTCCTGCAGCCGCGGCCGCTGCCAGTGCCGCGAGCTCCATGGGCTTCTCCTGGGCGCCGCCGCGTGTCTGGCCGAGTCCAGGGAGCCGCGGCGCCTCGTGTCCGGGAGCCATCGCTGCAGCCCGAGTGTCCGTGCCAGGTCGGGGGCTGCAGGGCCCGGCCAGGGCAGCGGGCGCAGGAGCCCCACCGGGGGCCTGGGACTGGGGAATTGCCTCCGGCTTCATGGTCAGTTGGAAGAAGGGGGAACTGAGGTTGGGTGGGCGAGGCGCGGGGGGGAAGTGGGAGGCGCCCGGCCGGCCGCGCGGCGGCCGCTGGAGGTGCATGGAGCACTTTGCCGGGAGTTGCTGGTAGCCGATCGTGTGCGTGTGCATGTGTCAGAGAGAGAGAAGCGACCCTCCCGTGAGGGGAGGCGGACGTCGTGATTGGCCTCGGGGTGGGGGTGCTGGTCCCGGCTCCACCGCCCGCCCGCCCGCCCCCCTTCCTTGTCTCTCTTCTCTCCAGGCTGGTTGCAGGGAGGCGGCCACGGAGCAGTCGGCAGGTCGTTCCCGGTGGGCAGTGTCCGGGCCGGGAGGCAGGGGCGTCTCGTCCCCCGGCGTCCTCGTGCCCCCCACCCCCCTCCCACCACTGCGCTTCCACCCAATAGATATCCTCAGTCCACTCGTGCTCCCGATGGACTGGCCGATCGCCGACCCCGGGTGCCTGAAAGAGCCCCGAGCCCCGAGTGGTCTTGGGAACATTGTCCCGAAGATAGTAAGGCAGGGCAGGCTTAGTAACCCGGCGCTTCCCGGGGTGGCCAGAAGCACCGGTTTTATGGGGGGGGGGGGGGGGCGGGGGGAACCTGCTGGGGAGTGTGGACAGCTGCGTGGTGCGGGGACGCGGAAGGGGGCACCCGCGCCAGATGCTTAGTGGTCGAGTCAGAGTATGGACCTGGGCTATCCAGAGAGAATACCTGCAAGGTGAACAAGGGGTCACTGAAGGAGCCCATTAAGGCGGGGCACTCGGGGAGTGGTAGAGGTTTTAAAGGGGCCACGTGGATAAATAGAGAAAAAGTGAACCCTAAGCTGGCAAAGCAAAGGAGGACGGGGCTCAGCTCGCTTTTGCGAATACCTGGTTGTTGAGGAACCTTCTGGTTCTCAAAAGTGAAAGTAACCCTTGACAGCTCACAGCTTCTCAGATAATAGCCTCCACAGACTGAAGTGAATACTCTCATCTACTGGGTACCCGCTCTAAATGGGCTTTGTACTAACTTGGGAACGCTATGACAAGTAACACCCAACTCTGTCCAGAGAAACTTCCTGGACTGTTAGCCCTAAAGCATGGTGGATAAGAATAGTGCCCGCCATTTATGGGGTGGCACCCTTGGGCACAGTGGGATGGGAAATGGATCAGAGATGGGTAAAGAAAGTAGACCAGGCCCTGTTATTTTTGTTTGTTTGGTGCTCAGGGCTTACTTCTGCACTCAGGGAAAGGGGCTATGGACTCTGGTGCTAGGGATGGTGCTTGGGATAGCCCTGTTGCCCATTGTACTATGTCTCTGGCCCCCAGCCTGAATTTTTTAGCAATAAACTGCTCAGCTCAAGAATAGATGCCCACTTCTTAGTAGACTGGACTTTGTTTATTGTGTCCCTTCTAGGGTTGTTCCTACAGGGAAGATACTTGCAGGCTTGAACTTCGCCCTCCAGGGAAACTAGGAGAGAGAGGAAGCCAAGGAGTTCCTCCCTCGTGAAAAAGCAGAGGTGCCCGGCCATTTGCAGCACATAAATGCCTTTGTGTGTGGTGGACTGCTAGCATTAGAAATGGTGTTTGTATTAGCAGTTGCTCTGAAAGGAGCAGTCCTAGGCATGGAATATTAGAGACTAGGATTTCTAAGGGATTTTAAACATGGCAGCAAGTTGATTCATTTAAAAAAAGAAAAAAAATACAGGAGTGGCCAGAACTATAGTACAGGAGGTAGGGCGCTTGCCTTGCACACAGCAGAGCCAGGTTCAATCCTCAGCACCCCATATGGCTCCCCAACCCCACCAGGAGTGACCCAAGAGCACAAAGCCAGGAGTAAGTTCCAAGTACTATTGAGTGTGGCCCAAAGAGAAGAAAAGAGAGAAAAAGACAAGAAAAATACTATATGGAATTATCAATAGGTCTTTAAAATGTAGAGCATATATTTAAACCATTCCTCTGCCTTGCTGGAGAAGAGTTGGTGGTATTTGCTAAATAATAATGTGAACAATATGTGCCTTGTTGGTTAAGTAGGTCTGAGAGTTGACGCAGTAAAGTCTTCATTTAAAATTCTCCTAAAACAATGACACCTTCACTAGTTGTCACTCTTCAGTGCTGCCAGAATATCTTGATCACATTTCTTTGGCTAAAACCTTGGACATCATTAAAACCCATAAATTCAGTATTTCTTTTTGGGTCTTTTGGAGCATATTGAAGAGTTATAACAGCCAGAAAATGGAGAGCTCAATGGCCATTTTTTCTGCTAAGGCCAACTTCTTTTCTATCACTCTCAGTTTTCACTGGGGGCATTCTGTTTCGTAGGTCTGTCCATTCTAAATCTCTGCATTCTATTTATTATATTTAGCTCTCAGTGATGTCATGTTTATGTTCCAAGTTCTGTTGTAAACCCGGTCCTGCACACAGTTACTGAATCTATCTTCTCAACAACCCTATGAGGCCTTTTACACATTGGGAAACTGAGGTACAAAGGTGCTAATTGTCATCAGCTGGGTCATAGGTCATATGTCTAATCACTGGCAGAGTCAGGACTTGAGACCAGGCTAAGTTCCCCCTGCCCTGCAATCCTAACCATATCCTTCAGTACACACACGCACACACACACACACACACACACACACACTCACACTAGCTCCGTTTCATTAACTGGAGTATTTGTGGAGGAAGTGAAAGAGACACAAACGCACACCTCCATTTCATTGTTGACAGCCCTAGTAGTTTATACCACAAAACAAGGAGTTTGTTCAAGCCTGTGCTTGTACATCCCTTGAGTCCTTTTTCTAGACTGCTTCAGCTTTCCCATCACAACCCCTTTTCGCTCAAAAAATGCAACCGGGGCTAGAGCTGGCCAGAAACACCTGGCATTTGCGACGTGTTTGATTTTTGAATTTATTTTTGGTCTGTGCACCTTCAGAAACCTTTTACCATTGCCAAATTCTTTACCACCCGCACTTTCAGATGTGTGGCCCATATGGGGTTGCTACCCGTAGTGAAAGAAGCTGGGATCTGGAGCAACGGGGAGCATGGCCCTGCCGAGAAGTTCCCACATCTGTTTCTGCCCATCTTTTCAGATCAGGGGAATGGTTGCCTACAGGCCAAGTAGAACTTAACACGGTAGCTGAGGAAAGCTTTCAACAGCAGAGGAAACCAGTGGTTATGGCGCAGAAACCCAGATTCCAGCCTTACACCCAGAGTAAACATCTAGAAGCTCTTCGAACTGTTCGCGCACTTGTGTGCCTCTGCATTCTGGGGGGCCTGAACTAGTGGGCCTGTTCTGGGCCCTTCTGGTGGGCTCAAAGAGGTAAGAAACAAAACTTAGGCCTGCCTGAAAGGAATTAAGGATTTATGATAGTTGGGAAGCCTGGGGAACTTGAACTAGTGCCTGAACAAGACATAAAATAAACTACTCAATTAAGGCATGTGATTAACCAAAAGGCTGGCTATCATGGTACTAATTGTGCAGGCCAGACATCAAGGGCAAGAGGCAAAAAAGCAGCAGCTTGCCAAGAGCAGTAACAATGGCATTAGGGCTGCATCAAGCTGTCCCACCTTGCCTTGGTTAATTACAGCAATAAAAACTGCTTATGGAAGAGCTGCAGGGCAGTGTTGGGTGCTGAAGGTGCTGAGACCTCTAAGAAGCCCAGCAGGGAGACTTTTAATCCCTGTTAGTTGTGGAGGCATAATTGTAGGTCTTTTTTTTTTTTTGTCCTTTCACAGCACCTGAGAAAAGCAAAAGTGAGCGGTGTGTTCTCAATAGATATGGTTCTTTTATTACTGTGCATTTGTCTTGGCTGTACCTTGGCCTAAAAATTATTCTGTGGGGCCAGGGATATGACTCCAAGGGGTGGTATACATGTTTGGCATATGTGAGATCCCAGGTTTCATCCCTCACCATACCTGGTCTCCTGAGAATCACCAGGTTCGACCCTGGCAGCCCATGAGCCCCAGAGGGTATGGCCCTGGACATCCCAACACCTCCAGGCTCAAGTACTGAACTGTCAGGCCCAGTCCATCAGCTTAATATAGCCAAGGGTGGCCACCCACCCCAACCCTCACTGCTGGGGTTGGCCCCCCAACACCCCCTGTAAAAACGAAAGAAATGAGTAAATAAGCTGCCAGTCTGACCAGCACTCTCTGCCTGTTCTAAAAGCCTTAACTCAGATCATGGTGTTGAAAATGTGCTGGGAATACCCAGGTAAAACTTCATGTGTTTTGCATTCTGAGCAAGGGTCCACTTGCTGCTCCTACTCAGGAAGGGTTTCATGTGTGTTGTATTCTGAGCATGGGGCAGGATTCTTCCTGTGTCTCTCATTCGGCCTTGTGTGACAGAATGAGGTCATGTGTCCTGATTAGCCAATCTAGGAGTATTTAAACCCACACCCTCAGTAGCCATGGAAAGGAACTGATCTGAAAGAGGAAGGGAGGAGTAGGGGTCTGGAAAGAGGCCCAAGCCCTGCCGCTTCTTGGTTCTTGCCGGTTTTGCATTTTTCCATCTTCCTCCTCCTTGGAAGCAGATTTCCAGAGGCCCATGGCCAGGTCATACCTGATTCTCATCTGTGAAGTGAGAAGCTTGTGGATGTGGAACCCACTCAGCAGAGTCCTCCACCAGGAAATGTTAGGGCCTCTGACTGTGACCTGATGATACTTGGAGGCTTAGCAAGTGTGACTCTGGCTTTTCTGGGCCTCACGATTATCGATTATCTCCTGGTCAGGGTATTATCTCCTGGACACGGTCCATGGGAATAGGGAAAGGAATGCCATCAGGAGGGACCCATTTCTTGCCTTGGGGAAATGAGTCTGGCAGTAGAAAGGTGACTTAATGGACTGAATCATCTGCTTTGCGTGCAGGAGGCCTGAACCCTAGCCCTCCCCTCTGCCTTGGCCTCCCCATGCCACAGGGTTCCCTGAGCTCCACCAGGGGCACCCCTAAGCCTTGAGCCAGGATGAGTCCTTGAGCATTGCTGGTATGGTCTAAAAAACAAAGCAAAACA